TGCCTCGTGATCTACGGCCTTTCAACTCACTTGTCTGCACATGTGTTACCTCTCTGTAATCTGACATTCTAGTTTACTATTCTGATGCTAGAGATTACACTGAGAAAGAACACCCCCCCCCCCCCACACACACACACACAAAGCATCATTATTGTATTATTTTATTTGCTATGTATGTAATCATTGTCTTGTTCACGTTTTAGGCAAAAAATAAAGGCCAGACCGTTTCTGAAAATATATCTTTTATTTCAACGTAATCGATTAAATGTACAATCTTCTGGGTTTTCACAAAAATGTGTTTGACGGCTATGATAGGGTGTGTCTTTTTTTTCCAATTTGGAATCATAGAGCTGATACTTCTGTACGGTTTTACAAAAATAGAAAAAAATGTTGTCACATAAATATTGTGAAACATCTCCTACATGACGGGTGAATACCCTTCAGGTTAAATTATTACATGTCTTTATATCATTATTTTATTCAGACGGGGAACATAGGAAGGTATCGAGATTGCTGGAAATAATATCACGTGCCGATACCGATCATTGGAGCATCACTTTACTCACCATTCAACGCAAATATCTTTGTTTCCAACGGTAGCATGGTTCTTTCGTTTATTGCATTTGAAACTTTCACGAATACAACAAATTGCTACACTGAGAGAATTGGAAATCTAAGCAGTTTAAATTGTTTGCGTGAACATAATGTTTGAAAGTAGAAAAATTATTTGTTTTAAAACCATAACAGGTTGATTGTCTGTGTGAGTGTGTATGTGTGTGTGCGTGTGAGTGTGTGTGTGTGTGTATGTATGTGTGTGGTTTGCATTAATACTGTAATACTATTATGTTGTCTTGTGTAGTAATAAAGCATAATTGTGTCACAGATCAAGAAAATTTAGATTATAGGAATATACAACTAAAAATATTGTTTTGCTTTGTTTTTGCTTCTATAATTAATACATTGCACTCATATAGTATGATACGTGTATATATAGTGCTATTGAAGTGTGCTAAATGTATATATGATACTAGTGAAGTATGTTGAACATTTTTATGGTGCTAGTGAAGTATGCTAAATGTATGTATGATACTCAAAAAGTAGCTTTTCTCTGCATTTAGGGGCCAGCGAGTGTTAGTAAATACACGGCAACTGAACAGGCGCGCCGACACAGAAGAAAAATTTGGGACCTTTTATTCTCTCATAAACGCTTTCTGTGTAAATGAGTAGCAGTCAAAGGGTATTTAGTTTAAAAGAATGATAATATTATTAGTCATAATAATATTAATACATTTAATTACAGCGAAACGACGGAACATGCAATGGTACACACATGTAATGATATCTAACAGCGTCTTTAAAAATAAACAGTCCTGCAGAGCCCGGTAGAAGGGAAGAGAAGAAGAGGTAGACCAAGAAATAACTAGATACAGAACTTGAGTGGCCGGTCAGGCCTTACGCAGGAGACCGTGTAGTCCATTGCAACTGACCGTAACAGTTGGTGGAAGCTGATCAGACAGTCAACGGCAACTGGTGACACAAAATCACAAAACGGTGAAGATGATGTATAAAAACTGGGGGAAAAAAAGACTGTTTGAAAAAATATGCTATTTATAAACAAATACTTGTAAAGAAATTGTAAATATTTAGTTAAAGAGCTGCTAAGTATGGTTTTAAATATATTTGTGGTGGAAAGGAAATGTTGGTGTGGGGGGAAAGGGAGGGGATGCACTCAGCCACACAAAGTTAAGATTTAGCGCAAGGCGCTTAAGTGGCCTGAACGCCCCCAACCCTTGGTTCCGAATCCCCTGATGTTGATCACATACTTTCGTCAACATATGTTCGAATTTTTCGGTGTTGGAAATGCGGAGACGTGTCCCTGCAGCGTGGCACCCGAAAATGCTGAGCATGTGCTCCAACACTGTTAACTGTATGCTGACAACAGAGACGCAATCTGGCCTGTTCCAACCACAATGAAGACAAAACTGTATGGTACACGAGAGGATATGGATTGCACGATAGCTTTCACAAAGGCTACCGGCCTCCTGAAATAAGTTTTCTGACAGAAGGATCGAAGAAGAAGAAGAAGATCACATACTTGTCCGATTGTCCGATCAGTAAAGCAGGAGATATCCGAGTCCAGGGAGTCATGGCTGGGTCGATCCGCCCATCTGAGATTGTTTTGGGCAGTGGATTCCAAACTTTTCTTGGTTTGCGGCGCTGTTTTGTAACAACACATTTTCCGTGGTGCCCTACCTAAGAAAAAGAATGAATATTCGTGTCTTGGTTAAATAATAATGATTCTTTTACAATATTTCGTGTCACCCCTGTGAAGAGGCTGCGACTCCTCGGGGCGCCGCGGCGCACAGTTTGGAAATCACTGGTCTAGGGGATAAACGGCCGGAAGCCTTTGTTAAAGAGGGAACCACCTACTGATGATCGAGTTGCTTCTGTTGCGCATGCTCCCGCCGTTGAGTTCTACTACTTCTTCTTCTGGGAGCCCCGTGGCGGTAGGTCGTGGGCTCGATTCCTGGAGGACCCAGTCTTTTTTTTTTTAAAATGATTTTGGCACCCAGGTCGAGCCAGTCTTGAGTCGGTACCGGGTGCAGTCCCACGAAGTAGAGGCGGCCGGCGTGATGCTGACCACTTCACCCATCTTGTGCCGATTGGGCTATAAAAATATAGGTCTAGCCCTATATGCCCTATACGCTTATAGGCTTGGAAAAGGGTCCTTTACTTTACTTTACTTACTTACTTCTTCTTCTTCTCTTCTCAAGAACCATGCATTGCTGATTCGTGTAAACAATTATAGCTCTAGTAATCCATTCGTTAGTGACGTCATAAACAGGAGAAATCAAGAGTACATCGTGTCGGTGGGAAAGCTGGAGGGTGAGGAAAACAAGGCATAGGGAAACAGAGAAAAGATATTGGAAAGTCTGCATAAGGGCATGGACGATCAACTGTGTCAGAATTGATTGAAAGTAGACATGGCAGGTATGGGGTCGCATTAGCGCAGTCGATAGGAGACTCGTTTCAAATCCGGCTGCGACTCCTGTTCGAAACTAGGCGGTTCCCGGGGTTTAGTCAGCCTCCAGGAAATAGGTATCAGAGTTAACACTCTGGGTTAAATGTAGGAACGTCGCTGTAGCTTCGGAGTTGCGCCGGATGGCTACACAGCCCGACAGTTTTTCTTATCAGCTGTCCGTACTGGTGGCAGAGCACTTATGGTTAATAACCGTGTGCAGTGACACTGGCTCACATCTCTTGACTTTACCTTGACCTTTACACGAAAAAGGGATGAAGAAAAGACGCTGGCGTGTTACACCTTGAGAAAATCTGAGAACGATATAACTTGAATGTCTGTTTACTAGAATCCACAGGGAACTTCCCGCGAACTGGATGGGAACGTATGCTTCATCGGGGGCTAGAAAGGCAGAACAAAAAAAAGACACGAGACAAAACGTGGTGGGTAACCAACGCCGCAGGGCAGGGATGATAAGAAGAGGAGCACTCACTATCTTCCAGATGCACCGAAGGCGGGGAAGGGGACATTGATTTAGTAAAGTACAGGAACCTTTTTACTTTTTTTTAGGCATATTGGGTTAGACTTGAATTGTATACACCAATCGGTGCTTGGAAGGCCTTTACTTCCCAGGAATACACATGGTGCCCATTCAAGGTGGAGTCCACCTGGGATACAATATCAATTTTGAAAAATGTCCGGCTCCATCAGGACCCGAACTCGTGACCTTCCGACCCGCAGGCTAGCGTCTATACGCTACACCGTGGCGACTCCTAGTATTTTATTTACCCACTTATCTTAAGGATGGTATACACAGTTTCACAGTCTCGACATACAGGAGATCGAAGTCAGGAGCTGTTAATAAATGATATGGGTAGGTGTAGAATGCTCTCTGCTTTAAAGGCGTTTTTTAAAACCCTGATAATGAGAAGGAAAAAATATCGGGGGGGGGGGGGGGGGGGGGAAGGGGGAATATGCGCAAGGAAGTTTCGCGGGTCGGGAGGAAGGGGGAGGTAGGCGTCAAACAAATTTAAGTGAATTTCTGCTTGTAATAATTTGTTGAATAAACAGTTATGTGTGCTTAATTTTAATTATGTATAAAATGATATATATATATATATATATATATATATATATATATATATATATATATATATATGTATATGTATATATATATATATATATATATATATATATATATTTATATATGGAAAGTCGCAGTGGTATGGCGGATCGAAAGGTTGTGGGTTCGCTCCTAAACCGTCCGAAAGACCTGTAAAATGGTCATTGTATATATATATATATATATATATATATATATATATATATATATATATATATATATATATACACAAACAAGTAGTAAATCCAATGACGTGATTGATATATCCGTTGCCAGATGTGAATGTATCAACATTTAATTCACCCCGTAACACTACGTGCCGTGGGGTCATCAGTTGCCATTGACTGATCAGCTCCACCCAGATATTACCTTCATAACAAATGTGTCTTGAGTGCATTTAGCAGTTGGGTTGAGCTGAGTTAGTATCTGACACTGCAGCACTAGAGACGTTCCTCCAGCATACCTTCCTTAAGTGCAGCAAACAGCGAAGAGTTTTCAGATCTGATGGTGCCAGTAGAGGTTTGATTACACCCGTCTTGCCTTCTGAGTGTTGAGTGTCGACCAGATATATCCTGGTCACTCCTAGCTGCTCCATTATCTCCATACTTTATTATCGACCCAGCCTAAAATGGGTACCAGGATGGGCTGTCCTGTGAAAGTAAAGACAGCCGGCGTAATGCTGACCACATTACCCACAGAGTGCTGATGGTCTGCAAAAATATGGGACGCTCTGCCCATATGCCCGATGCGCCGAAAGGCGTGAAAAGGATCTTTACTTTACTTTACTTTTAATATTCTATGGGCTCATCCACAGTGTTTTCTTGCTCCAACAATGATTTGGTCTCATCTAGTATGTCAATGGATTCACTAATGGCTGCTGACAGTTTTGCTTATACAACATTTATCCCGACACAACATTTTACAACCAGAGATCGGGAGTTACTACAACTTGTAAATATTGTTTTCTTGAGTGGGCCTATGGCTTTTTTCGGAATAATCGGTAATGTGATAAATTTAATTGTATTTTATCAACAAGGTTTGAATACAAACACCAATATTGGCTTTTTTGCTTTGGCCATAGCAGACTTGATTACTCTTATTTATCAAGCTGCATGGGCTGTTTTAGCTTCCCTAGTGTTTGGAGGTATTCACATGAATATTGAATACGTAAGTGTACAATTTGCGATTTTAGCTTTACCTAAAGAGGGTTTTGCACGAAATAGCTGTTTGATTACGGTATTGATTACAGCAGAGCGATGTCTGTGCATTGTGTTTCCTCAGACTGTCAAAGAGATGATCACTCCGAAAGGTGCCAGACTGGTGATTGTAAGCATCTACTTAGGTACTTTTTTGTCTGGTTTACCTATCCTAATGAATTATCGAGCCAATTGGAAGTTTGATAAGGAAATGAATTCAACTATTTTAAGCATAGATTTCACTGGTAGTAGCCATCTGTTACAAAAAGTTATTTATTTTATACACGCTGTCTCTTTAATTGTATCCGTCGGCGCTGTTTTGGTGTTTACCTTGATTCTGGTTTTAAAATTGAAGCAAACGTCAGCCTGGCGGGTTACAGCCCACATTCAGCAGAAAGACTTCTTGTCCAAGAGAGACAGTTCTGTCATGTCCATGGTTGTACTTATAGCTAGCATTTTGATCGTCTGCTTTACGCCATCAGTTGTATTGTGCATTGCAACGTTTGCTGAGCCTGAGTTCAGCGGTTTCGGAAGATACGCAAATTTATTTTGGGGTTTATGGTCGTTTGTTGTCCTTTTGGAGACCGTCAACTCTAGCGTGAATATTCTATTGTACTTGCAAATGAGTTCCAAATATAGGCGTACATTTTACGGTTTGATTTTAAACGGTTGTAAGATGTTCAAATGCGTCCGCAATTAGGGCAGTCTACATTTTCTCCTTCGTTCTTCTAAGGCAGTCTCCAACTGGAAGGGGTGGGGGGGGGGGGGGGGGTGTGCGAGAGATATCTCCCTAGAAAAAGTTATATAAGTTCAAAGATCGGGGCGCAAACTCCGTAGATCCTGCAATACTTCGGGTAGATTTTAAACTCGAAATTCTTTCACAGGCAGCGCTGTAAGGCTACTCTTTTTGATTTACAACCACCAAGGTATTTTTACGCGCGCAGCAATATAATGGGCATCTGATATTACTACCCAGAGACCAGTTGAAATTATCTAGATTTCCACATGAACAAATTCCAGCCTTCACCGGGGCCTGAACCGGAAACCTCTAGAACTCAAGGCGAATGCCTTGTCTCCAGACCACTCACACCCTAGATTGTAGTGTGACATTGCAAGCCGTTTAGCAATTTAAAAAAAAAAAAAAAAAAAAAAAAAAAAAAAGTTAGTTGCGTATCCTTTACAGGACGTTGCAGAACCAACCCTAACAGCCCCTGGCTGTTGTGTGGTTTCTCTTGGCAAATTTAAGTCCAGTAGTTTGCCATTGCTTACTGGACGGTCGGCTTTCTTGATACCACTGTCGAAACCAACGCAAGGCGCATTGCCCGCAACTGGGATCGAACCCGGCATCCCGGCATTTCGAAGCGAAGCGTTCGCATCGACTTGGCCACAGAGCCGACCCTTAGCAACTTTACGGATAGATAAACCACTTTTAACTCAGGCAAAAGCACTTATTCTTTGTGGTCTCGAAAGTTCTTTTTAGTGACATGGCGGATCTGTTTACGGTTACCATGACGTTGACCTTTCATTCTTAGCTCTTCTGAGTCCCAGGGGTGTGCAAGTCTATTAGGCGGGACATCTGTCCTGTTTCAAGCTAGCAAACTGCGACTCGACACTACGCCCATTAGCAGTCCAATGATTTATGAATGAAACGGCTCGCAGTGCGTAACCAAATTTAAGAGTCATGGTAACCGTGAACAGATCCCAAGAATGTCGTGGGAAGTAGAAGCGACCAGCGGAATGTTGCCCGGATCCCATATCGAGTGCCAGTTGGTTTTGAAGAATGTAAGCCTAAACTCATATACTCGATGCGCTGCTGGTGCAAGGGGAAAATAGAATATATATGAGTTACTTTATCTGTCAACATAAAACTTTATGTTTCCTATGTGAATATGATTGTGTGCCAGTGCTATTGTTGGCACCGGTCCCGTGTTGTTACAGAAACACTAGAAGGTAATAAACATCCCGATATTATTTTGCAAGAACAGACACTGGTTGAAAGCAACCAATGAGCACGCTTCCAGTTAACTGTGACGGTAAATTATCAAAACATCAAACAGCACCCGTTTTATAGGCGTTCACTCTCAGGTGAACATTAGCCCCCCCCCCCCCCCCCAACCCCCCGTCAGTTCCTTCTTCTTCTTCTTCAGCATCCCGAGCCCTTTAGGTTCGTTGCTGCAGATATCACCCGCCTCCATTCATCTCTCTGGTTAGCCTTCTCTTTCCAGTTGGTGACACCCAGTGTTTGCAGGTCTGTCTGGACATTATCTCTTAATCTTCTTCTTTGGTCTGCCTTCTGGTCTACGACCATTCATCTCTCTTATGTATACAGTTTTTACTTCTCTGCCATCTGACATTCTTGCAATATGCCCCAACCATTTCAGTCTGTTAGCTCTCATGATGCATATGATCAGTGGTGATTTAAACAGATTATGAATTTCATTATTGCTTCTTACTCTCCATTGCATCTTTGATAGGTCTAAAGCTTCGACGTAAGACTCTTGTTGTCCAAAACCTGTAATAACGCTTCATCTCCAAGTTTCAAAGCTATATAACACGACTGGTCTTATCAACGTTGTATATACTTTAATCTTGGTGTTGCGAGACAGACACTTTGACGTTAGAAGATGTTAAAGGGCATTGTACACTTTATTCCCAGATTGTATTCTAGATTGTATTTCTTCTCTCAGCATGTTGAATTAGTTAAAGTTTGCACCCAAGTACTTATATGTTTCCGTTTGTTTGATTTACATATTATTGACATGTATGTGGCGGGAGTTTATATCCTTTCTCTGTATAGTTATTATTATGCATTCTGTCTTATCTGGATTAGTAACTAGTCTCATTTTCTGACCTGATTCTTTTAAGAGAGGTAGTGTTGTGACTCTCTATTTCATTTATACTAACGATATCAATGTCATCTGAATATCAAAGTATTCTTGTAGATTCTCCTATAGTACATTCATGTTTCAATCTATATTAACAAAAATCTTAATTTTCCGGTGTCGTTAGCTCTAAACTCGGACACTACTAAACCGATTGCTTTCAAATTTTCACACAACGTTGCCTCTGACTCAAAGCGTTATTTTTTATCATAAAATCGCACAAACCATCAACGGTCAAATCATTATTTGTTTTGTTGCCCTCCTGGATTTATTTTTAAAGAATTGGCAACATTTGACTGTGCAACACCGACCGCCGCATTATTATTATATACTTTTATTTCTACTAAAAATGCTTGGGTATTCAGTCGCGTAGTTAGTTGTAAGCATTTTGCTTTTGTTACTTGGGTGATAGGTGTTCGATTCCGCGCTGGGTGATATAATTTTTTTTGCCCCTAACTTGTTGGCTGCCACGTTTTGTTGTGGTTTATAGCTAGGCTGCAGTATCTACGCTTTTTGTTTCGTTAGATTTTGGGGTTTACAGCTAGCCTGCGTTAGCGGCGACGTGATGCTCAATGTTAATGTCACGAGTAATATTCGTTCGCCCTTTAGAGGGCGGTTGGCACTTTGTTTTGTGGTTTACAACTAGGCTGTAAAATCTTCATTCTTCGGTAGTAGAGTTGTAGGTATACCCCCCCCCCCTTTCACGTGTATAACGGGTGTTCGATTTCCCGCTGGGTACTAATGTGTCTTTTTACAACAAAGGCGCGATTGGCACTTTGTGTTGCTGTTTAAAGCTAAGTTGCGACATCTGCGTCTTACGCCCCAAGACATCCGATTTAAGTACAGTCCACATTAGCCCCCCCCCCCCCCCCCCCCCCCGACGCTTTACTCGATCAAAAACTATTCGTTAATGACAGACACTGTTAACTAAGAAAGCTTACGGTCCAGTTTGGTTTGGGTCGACACGGATGCCAAGGTTAATTAAACATCGTCACTTCGGACAGGGAAACATAACGAGTGCGGCTTTTTATTTCCGCTTTTTGTGAGTATAGTGTACATTTTTTTTGTATCACGGAATTTTACTGTAGGTTCCATCACTGGTTAGATGATGGAGTTTTATGTCGGGGACACACTTAAACTAAACAGTCTGTGGGGACAGCATGCGGCGCCAACCCCTCTGGCTACAAGGACCTGTAAAGACAGCAGTTACCGTTTTGTGTTGTTGTTGTGACGGTGGTGATGGTAGTAGTAGCGATAGTACTGGTACTCGATGGGTTATGTGGTAGCTGTTACACTGGCCACATTTACTTCTCAGTACAGATTAATGCTACCCATTTTTGTCTGGGTGGACACGGATGCCAAGCTCAATTTAACAACAATATTTTGTCAGGCGATGACTTCACCATACTTCGTAGAGGATGACATGATTGGGGTGGGTGGTGTTGGTGGGGAGGGGGGGGGGGGGGTCGAGGGGGGTTGATGAAAAAAAACTGTTAACTGAAAGAGCTTAAAATATTTTTTTACATTTCCCATTTCTGAACTATTTCTATTTTAATTTTCGTTTTCCTTTGAGAGGGTTGTTTACAGCTAGGCTGCAATATCGGACCCAATCTCTTCAGTCTTAGGTAGTATATTTATACGTATTCCTCCCTTCACGTGGTTCACCGGTGTTCAATTACCCACTGGGTGCTAATTTTCCTTTTTCTCTCAAGAGGGCGGTTGACATGTTGTGTTGTGATTTACAGTTAGGCTGCGATATCTGCACCTTTCGCACAAAGACATCCGATTTCAGTAAAGTCCCATTTATCCTTCCCGCGACGCTTCACTCGATGATAAACTATTCGTTAATGACAGAAGCTGTTAACTAACGTATGTAATAAAGGCAATACAAATAATTCCCAGGCACACGTGAATTGATTTCCAAACTGTCTTCACGAGTGTGCCAATTGCCGTTTATTTTTCCTAATTTTTTTTTTTTTTTTAAGGGGCACACACATTATTATTCAAACAAAGCTAAACAAAAAAAACAAAAAAATAATAATAATGTGCTTGCGGATCGGAAGGTCGTGGGTTTGGGTCTTGATGGAGCCAAGCTTATTTTTCAGAAATGACTTTGGCTGCCATGAAGACCCATCCTTGAGTGAGAACTAGGTACAGTCCTGGGACGTGAAGGCGGCCGGCGTGATTATGTTTTCTCACCCATCAAGTGCTACTTGGTCTAAACAGTATTGGTCTAGCCCTATTTGCCCAATACAAATGAAGCCGTGGTAAAAAGATCTTTAGTTTACTAAATATATATCTGTTTTCTCTATATTAAACAAGAATAGGAGAATTGACCTTTCAATGTTACTGTCTGTCTGCATCGTAACTGTGAAAGGTTGACCAATACAATGTACTAAGTTGTTTCTGGGCCGCGCTGGTGTTGCGGTTAGACGCTCGCCTCTAGATCCAAAGACTGATGGTTCAAAACTAAACAAAACCGGACTTTCCTAAAAAATATACATTGACTCCAAAGTCGACCCAGCCCTAAATGGGAATCTGGTAAAGTCCTGAGAAGTAAAGAAGGCCGACATGACGTTGATCGTAACTCCCACTGAGTGCCGTCTGGTCTTTAAAATATTGACCTAGAACTAAATGCTCTG